GACCAAAATCAGACGAGCACACACCAAAAAAAAGAAAACTACAGGCCAATAACCCTGATGAACATAGATGTAACAATTCTCAACACAATACTAACAAACTGAATTCAATAGCACAACAAAAAATTATACATCGTGATCAAGTGGGATTTATCCCATAGATGAAAGGAAGGTTCAATATACACAAATCAGTAAAGGTCATACACCACATCAACAAAATCAAGAACAAACATGTGATCATCTCAATAGATACAGAAAAAGTATTTGATAACATTCAACATTCCTTCATGATAAAAATTCTCAGTGAATTAGATACAGAAGTATCTCAACTCAGTAAAGACCATATATGACAATCCCACAGCTAACATCATACTGAATGGCAAAAATTTGAAAGTTTTTCCTCCAGTAACAGGAACAAGATAAGGATGCCCATTCTCACCACTCTTATTTAAATAAGACTGGTAGTTCTAGCCAGAGCAATTAGGCAAGACAAAGAAATAAAGGGTATCCAAATTAGAAAAGAGGAAGTCAGATTGTCCCGGTTTACAGATGACATGATTTTGTGACCATAAATCTCCACCAAAATATTGTTAAAACTGATAAACGAATTCAGTGAACTTGCCAGATATGAGATCAACGCACAAAAATCAGTAGCATTTTTATATACCAACAACAAACTAAGTAAAAAAGTGAAATTTAAAAAGCAACCCCATTTATAATGGCTACCAACAAGAAAAAATAACTAGAAATAAATCTAATCAAGGAAATGAAAGATCTCTACAATGTAAACAACAAAACACTGATAAAAAAAATTAAAGAGAACATAAAAATGGAAAGATATCCCATATTCATGGTAGTATGGACATTTTGATGTCCATGCAGCAATCTACAAAATACCCTATCAAAATTCCAACGGCATTCTTCACAGAAATAGAAAAAGACAATCCTAAAATTCATCTGAAACGACAAAAGACCCTGAATTGCTGAAGTAATCTTGAGCAAAAAGAATAAAGCTGGAGGCATTACAATATCTGACTTCAAAATATACAACAAAGCTATAGAAACTTGAATTAAAAAAAAAANTATATGCTAGTAATATTGATTTGATCAACATATCTCAATATTGAACCCCAAAAATATGTATCATCAATTTTGATTCAATAAAAAATAATTAAAAACAAAAAACAAAAACCCAAAAATCTGCACTACAGACCAAATTGATTTAACAGACATTTACAGAACATTTCACACCCAAACTGCAGAATACACATTCTTGTCACCAGAACATGGATCATGTTCCAGGGCAGACACCATGTGAGGCCACAAACCAAGTCAAAAAACTTTAAAACACTGAAGTCATACCAACTACTGCCATGAAATAAAAGTAGAAATCAATAACAATAAAACACTGGAAACAGTATAACTGCATGGAAATTAAATAACATGCTCTTGAACAACCAATGGACCAAAGAAGAAATTTAGCAGAAAATCATAAAACTCCTTGAAACAAATGAAAATCAAATTACAACATATCAAAACATATGGGATACTGGAAGGCAGTACTAAGAGGGAAGCTTATTGTAATAAATACTGACATCAAAAAGGTAGAAAGATTTTAAACAACCTAACATTGCACACCTCAGAGAACTAGAAAAGCTAAGAATAATACAATCCCAAAATTAGTAGATGAAAAGAAATGATAAAGATTAGAGCAGAACTAAATGAAAAAGAGACCAAAAAAGAGTATAAAAAAACAACAAAATGAAACGTAGATTTTTTAAAAAATAGACAAACATTATCTAGTCTAACTAACAGAAAAAGAGAGAAGATCCAAATAAAAATCAGAAATGAAAAAGTAGACATTACAACTGATGCCACAGAAATACAAACAATCATTAGAGATTATAATAAACACATATACACCAACAAATTTGAAAATCTGGAGAAAATGATAAATATCTAGACATAGACAACCTGAACCCAGAAAAAATAGAAAAACTGAACAGACCAATAACAGCTAAGGAGATTCAATCAGTAATCAGCAGTTTCCCAACAAACAAAAGCCCAGGACCAGATGGCTTAACTGCTGAATTCTTAAAACTTAACACAATTCTTCTCAAACTATTCCAAAAAAAATCAAACCAGAGGGTAGTCTCCCAAACTCATTCTATAAGACCA